GATGTTGGTTTTGTGTTTCGCATTGAAGATGACGTCACGGCTCCGCCTACACTGCGTTACTATAGTTACTACCCCAGTTCCTAAACTGTAATGGAAACGCAGCATAAAGTGAGCCTGGCCTACCAAGGCCTAACTATACCGTACTAAGCCGTGCGAGGCCCTGCTGTGGAAATGCGCCATTAGTGAGCCGAGCCAAATGATCCGGCTCACTAAATATAACTGGAATTCCCATCACTAATACGTAAAGAGATAGTATCTATAAGGGACGGCTCAATTCAAAATTCAAGTCTCGTGACACGACACGACGTCACACACATGCTCTCGGGTGGACGCCCTCTAAGCCCTGGTCTGGCGGAAACACTGATGGGAGGTGATATTCTATTAATTTTCAAGTTCACACAGTCAGTTGATTTTTGCCGGCCGTCTATCCTGCAATGGCAGTTTTTCTGTATTTCATTTATCCTGTAATATGACTTGATAGCTTTAATCTCCGCACACGGAGCTTTGATTGGTCCGCAGGCGGTGCTTTCACTGAGTTGATCTCTTATCCTGGAACCAAACCTGCTCCGGAGCAGGTTAGCCGTTCAGCATAAGTTACCATGGAGATCCAGCCCGGTAAGAAGTGAACCAGCGTCGTAGGACCGGAAACCCAGAGTTTACCCTGAAGTTAGCTCGCTAAGCGAAAATCCGGCTTCGTATTACAGGCCTCTGGCTTACGTATGTCAAAACAGCTCCCCCATACTGACCTGCCCGGATGAACCCAGATTGTTTACTACTTGGCTTTATATTTCTACATCACATTAGGAAAAAATCCTTTGTATTGTTTCCTATAACCTAAAAATACTGGCATAGTCACTTGGTGGCTACAAAACATGTCAACTCAAGATTAATATTTCAACACAAAAGCCTGAATGGTGACACTTATATAACAGGCAGGCACGCTCTCAAAACAAAAGAGGCAGTACACTGATTCATTTAAAATGGGGATTTTGATGCCAGCAGTATTTTAATGCTACATTTTTATTTTAGAAAGATATATTCAATATCTATGTATTTCTATTTGGCCAGTTGAGCAACAACAGATGAAGTGATAAGTAGGTCGAATTGGATTGATGACAACAATAAGTCAATAAAAATGTGTCAGTCAAAACATAAACGTGTATTATTTCAGTATAAAAACCCATATTACACTGAATGGTCATGTTTTAGTGTTCACATTTCCAGTCAACAAGCAATGGGTTAGTATGCTGCCAAGTAGTACACTGTGTTCTTTTGTGAGCTGAGCGAAACACAGTGTACTCTCTGAGCCTACTATAGATAACGTATAGAAACACAGTGAACTTGAATCATAAAGGAAATATACTATTTGGTTTGGTGTGATATACAGGAAAACAGTTCTGCAAACACCATCTTTCGTGTTTACATGGGCTTAAAATACATTTAACCATTTGTAGCTGAACAACTGAGTCTTTAATGCAAAGCTAAAAAAAAAAAAGGATTTAGAGCTAAATCTTGCAAAATCACTTTCCCCTTGTAAATTGCTTTTTGTATTAGTTTAAAGGCATGCATTTGAGGTCACTTTCGTTAGCTCTCCCTTTCATGCATGCATTCCTTGATCATTAGTATTGGTGTCATTGTTCTGCTGACTAAGGTGTAAACAAGACAGTAGCCTGTACCTTTGAGTGACGTCTCCACCAGACGCAAGTACTGTTTGGACCGCTTGTTCCCATGGCTCATCTTCTGGGCCAGGCCCTTCCTCTGCAGGACACACTCCTCCAGCTGCACCACATTCTGGTGCCGGTTCTCCAGGCTCGTCAGAGCCCAGAACTCTGCTAGAGCAAGTTCTACATTTTCCGGGGCGTCGCATTGGAGCCTCTTCACCGCCACCCTGGCCCCTGTTTTCCTGGCTATCGCCTCATACACCACCCCGTAGCTTCCCCGGCCGACCTCCCGGAGCAAGCTGTACCGTGGAGACACCGCCACGGCGGGCTCCAGACTATCATTCCGCATTAAGCTAATGGAGAAACAGTCGTCGCCGTCTTCTTCTTCCTCCATGGGCTCCGTGCGGTTGTTGTTCTCTACCCGTAAGGAGCGGAGGACTTTCCCCAACTCCCGCTTCATCTTCACGGCCACCCTCCGCCTGCAGCCCCGCACACCGCCGCTTACCTGTCTCCTCTTCTTCCCGTCGCAAATATCCATAACTTCTTTTTTGTTGAAAGTAAGCATGAAGGGAGGACGTGTTTATCTTTCATTACTTAAACTGGAAACTAATAAAGTAAGACGTCCTCACGTCTGCCTGCTTGTTTTTCGTGGAGATTAAACGCCAGCCTGTCAACAGTGTGGAGCTTTTTTGCTGTTGGTAGTGACAAAGCTAGTACAGTGTCCAGCTGTAGGGACTAGTTCACCCTCAGACAAAATGTTCCAAGTACACACAGAGAACAGAGGGCGGGTGTTTACTGCAGACAGGCGCTGATTGGTGGAAACAGGAGACTACTGCTGATGCTGCCTATAGTGAAAGGGGTGGAGAATACAGGAGCACGCTACGTTTGTTTTTATTTTGAAAATAGGACACGTTTATAATGTAGGTTCTGGTGAAATGCTGAAAAGCGTACAGAGAAAGTTACAGAAAGGGATCGCTGCTGGTTCCTCCCATAGACTGTGTAAGTGGGTATAAATGAAAAATATGTACCATTTGCTTTGAAGAATCTCAAATAATGAGAAAACGATTTAATGACAGTAGCTACCAGCGGTTCATGAAACATGTAGAAAACAAGGAATAAAGAAGCATCATGCTTTAAAGTGGACCTATCATGCTATATTTGAATAATATAGTGTAGGACCATACCTATATAAGGCATATTTATACTTTTCATTTTTCAAAATACCAAACAGATCATGCATTTTAGCCATTCCTCATTTCGCTCAATTTAACACTGCCTTTCATGCTCATATTCAGTGAGGACAGAACCATCTGGTGGCCTGAAATATGTACTACGGCGTCTCCAGCGCTTTGTAACGGCAATGTCCGTGGCTGTCGACCTCCTGATTGGTGGAGTTGGCCCAATAGCCGTAGCGCAACTTCTGTGACGACATAAAAGTGTTCAAATCTGGATCAGTCTGTATCAGATCCGTTGCAACCTCTTTTTTTAGAGATTTGGGTATGGAGGAAAATAGAGAGGGTTGTGTTTTCTGACACTTGGTGAGTTCCCTGGAACTCAGGGGACACATATTCCTGTATAAAAGGCGTACAAAAGTGCATTTTGCATGATAGGTCACCTTTAATACAAGTTGTCTTCCCCTTGAATAATGCGCCATAAACCCGTTTATTTACTTGCTTAGTTTCCTTCGTTTCTGGGATACTTATGGGACACAATGAGGTTATTTGATCCCATATAGAGCATAGACACTAAACAACTCCTGTCATAACTTCCAACGACACATACATTTATGTGCACAAGCATTTATTAGTCTGAGACTTTTAGAAAGTA